TTCTGACGATCATTGGTTCTTCTTTCACCTGTTCGTTTTGACCCATGATCGTGACCATCTCGGTATTGACTTCCATCTTGGTCATCATCATCCTGGTCTTGGTCTCTTCCTCGACCTTGGTTGCATCGGCTTTGTCCTCTCGATCCGTTTTCTCCCCTTTGAGAATGAGAGCTTTCACCATTGGAGAATAATAGTTTACTCTGTGTTTCTATATCCTCTTCCTTGATTCGTTCTTCGTAGGCTTTTAACCGGCCTATCGTTTCTTGAAATCCTAGTTTATTCAAATCTAGAACTTGTTCCAACGAGGCGACTATATGAATGTATTTCGAATGAGGAAGAGACTTTAGAAACTTCTTTACCATCTTTTTCTCTTCGATCTCTTCTCCAAGGGCTACGGATTTTGAGGCCAAACTTGATAACTTCTCAGCAAATTCATCAATTGACTCTGAATAATGCATCTTCAAATTATCAAATTCCGTATTTAGGGTTTGGAGACGAGCTTCTCTAACCCTCTCAGCCCCCAAGTGACGAGTTTTGATTGCATCCCACAGATCCTTCGCAGTCTCCTCATTGCCTACTTGCAATATAAGATTTTCTGGAATTGATTGAAACAACAGTGCCGTAGCCATATCATTCTTCTCGGCATCAGCTGCGCCTGGTTCAATCGTTTCCCACACCTTATGAACCCTTAAGACGACTTTCATTCTCATGGCCCATACGGTGTAGTTCGTAGCGTTTAGCATGGGACATTGGACAACTGTAAGCCCAACTCCCTTAACCTTCGGTTGTGGTGTCTCAGATTCTGTCATATTTTTCTTACGTCAAGACACAATAGTGGACCAACGACCTTCTGCCCAACTTCCTCTCTTTTTTTTTAATCCTTTGGATTGGCAACCAACTGTACTTGGACGAATGGACTGCGACAGCTTGCAACCAGGACAACGACGAGGGCTCACGGCTGACCAGCTTCGGCGGCGATCTCCTCGAACCAGCGTCGCCAACTGAGTACGACGACGGCTCCTCAACGCGGCGGCGGCGGTAGGTCTATCAGAGCGACTCTCCCTCAGCGGCTCAGACCTGCGCGCGGCTATCGGCGGCGGCGAGTTCAATCTCAGATCCGGACGACTGCTACGGCGGCTCCGACCCTTCGTGACAATTTTTTTTCTTTCAATTTGTGCTCTGATACCAATTGTTGGAAACAATCTCTTTATTATAACTGGAAAATAACTCAAAACCAATTACAATAAATTCTCATATGTTTCTCATATGAAAGTCATATGAGAAACATATGAGAGTTTATTGTAATTGGTTTTGAGTTATTTTCCAGTTATAATAAAGAGATTGTTTCCAACAATTGGTATCAGAGCACAAATTGACTGTGTACGACTGTGTTAATAAAAATGTAGAAAGTTAATCCACTCTCATTCAAAATTTCTTAATCTTATGTATAAACATTTTGAATTGTAACACAATAAAAGTATGTACTGAGTAAATCATAAGTTACAATATAAAGTTTTTTTGATTAAAATATTAAATCAATTTATCAAGATAAAGTATAAAAGTCTCATTAAATCTTTTTTCTAATTTGTTTATGTTAAATATTCAATATTTTAAAAATAGTCAAATTGTATGTAAATACTTTTATTTCATATCACAATTTAGTCATCTTACCATAAACAAAATTCTACTCCGTATATAAGATATGCATTGAGTCAATCTCATAGTATACTTATTATCAATTTGTCTAAAAGTAAAGTACATAATCATGACATGTATACTCCTCTTAGAAAATATAGTTTTAAGTTTTTAAGCCACGTATGTAATTATAAATTATAATTTTTTTGAGTAATCTCAAAATAGTCTTTTCGAATAAGGTATTTTCCTAAATCGGTGTTATTAAGAATTAATTATCTATATAATACTTTATAGTTGAGATTTATTCACTCAGTGTCCTCCATATGAAATGTGGATGTTTGGTGGAGGACATCTTGGTATTTTCAACATTTAAATGTAGAGTAATTTTTCAAAATGACCCTTTTAGATTAACATTTTTCCAACTTACGTCTCTGTGATAGTAATTATAATTTTATTCCAATTGTGCATTTTGGGGCACCCAAATGTTTTGTGTCCCTCTATTAGACACTCACGTTCACGCTGGTAAATTTCGAATGAGGATGACCCTGCCTTCGATCCCCTACTTCAAATCTATGTAGAATTTTGATAAAATTTACGTATGAAAAATATGTAATTTTTTTTGAAAATACTATTTTGTTGTATATATCCCAAGTGATTATTTTTTTGTGCTTTTTAAAATGTAGTAGTTATAACTTCAATGAAGTCAAGATTGAAATACCTATGATTATTTTAAAATGTTTTTGTAATTTTTCTATATGAAAATTCTTGCAACTATATATGCTTCTGCTGATTAAAAATAAATTCATATCAAGTGCAAAAAGCTTTGGATGTAAAACACATCTGATTATTTTTATGTGATAATTTTTTAAAATTTTATGTAAAAAATGTAACTATATATATTTTTTCTTACTTTTTTGAAAATAAAATCACTTGACAATTTAAGTACAACTTAGTTGTAAAAAAAATGCAATTGTTTTTAATTTTTACAAAAATAAGTTTTTGTGAAATATATCAAATGTGACTATAATTCTTTTTATTTTGGAAAATAAATCTATGAAATTATTTGATATTTTACGAATTGAAATATAAAGATTTTTAATAGTTTTTACTAATATATTTTAAGAAATCTCATGGGTTAAATGTTTTATTCAAAAAACGAACGGGAGGGTTAACAAAAGGAGTTACTAAGAGCATGTTCTTTAAGGCTTGAACTCTTAACTTATAGTTTCTTCCAGTTTTTTCCATTTTCTTCTAGTTTTTTCCAATTTCTTCTAATTTCTTCCATTTTCTTCCAGTTCCTTTTAGTTTCCAATTATGGTGTTTGGTATCACAAAAATTATGTAAATTTGGAATTGATAGTGCAAGAATAAATTGGAATTGGCAGAATTCAATTCTATGGAATTGACTCTCATGAAATTTCAATTCCAATTCAATTCTAATTCTATCAATTCTGCATACGAAATAGACCTTAAAAGATTGGGGTAGTAGAAGTAACAGAGAGAGAAAGTTTTTTGTGTGTATGTAGTCCTTATAATCCGAACCTCCCTTTGTTGGGCAAGGAGTTATATTCATACAACATGGCCTTGGGCCGATGTCAAACTATTCTAGGTTTTAGTCCATGAGCCTTAATAATTACGTACTACTTGGTCCGTCCCTGAGTGTTTGTCCACTTTTGACTTTTGAAACTGTTCATCTAAGCATTTTGACTCATCAAATTCTCTCAATATGTAAGCCTAAAAATAGTCATGTGTGATCTTGTTTGATTCGTCTTAACATATAGATTATTAAGATATAATTTTTATAATTTTTTAATATATAAATTACAAGATAAAATGGATTAAAGAAGTGCATTGGATAGTATGCAAAAATGAAAGTGGACAAACACTCAGAGACGGAGGGAGTACATTTTTCTTTTTCTATGACATGGATATCACTTTTTAATTACGCTTATCTTGTACCCCACACCGACGATACACCACCCTCTCATGACGTCCTTACCTTCCAAGTGCTGGCCTCATAAGATTCCTTAGGTGTTGAACTTCAGACCTAAAGTGTTATTTCTGGGATGCCGATGGTGTCACGGGTAGCCAAGTGTGATATATTGGTGCGACCTTATCGTTTATCTGATTCTTGACCGAGTGGGTACATACTATGGTTGAGCGTGGCTCTCCTGCAGTATATTTATACTTCCTACGCCGAGCCCGACAAACATAAGCTCAGGTGAGCAATCCGGTCTGGTTCAATTGTAAACCCGGCGGAACCAGTGGTTCGGGTCGATTCGGCCGACTCACGGGTTTGGCCAAATTTTTTTATATTTTTTTGTTTACAAAAAAATGATAGAGATAAGATTCAAACGCTAAACCTCATTGATGGTGTAAATTACTTGACCGGTCAAACTATACTAGACCGGGTCTAGAATAGTTTGTTCGATTTGACAAAGTAAGAAAGGTAAAAATACGCAGGTTGACCGGTAGGACTTTTGGTGGAACACCTGTAGCCCAATTTATATTATAACGGAGAATGCACAGGTGCTTTTACAAGGGAGTTCTAGAGAGAATGCATCCGGATCCCTCTTTCTGAGGTTTACGTGAGTATTTATACCACGCTAGGGGGACAGGACCACGTGCACCCACGTGGGGGCATGCTGCTGATGTGGTGTTATGACTGTCCCTGAGCCACCTTGTCATCTTGCGAGGGGGATTACCCTCCTTGTCACGTTCTGGCTTGGAAATATTCCTCCAGCATCTCTGCAATTCCAACCACTACAGTCCAAGTCCTTTTGGACTCCTCCTCCCAACACTCCCCAATTTCTAAAAGTTGCACCGGTTGATTTCTGAAGGTTTGGATTAATTGTCTTCGGAATTGGTTCCTGCCGATGGAGTAATCTCACCGGTATACTATCCGAAGTATACCGGTCAACTTCTTGGTCAATCGGTCGTCCATTTTCCGACAATTCAGATCTCTCTTCAAAGTTTGACCTCTTTGACCGGTCAACTATCCGGTCCTGACCTTTGACCGGTCGTGGGTGAAATACACCCATCAATAAGCCCTCCACTTCTCGGTTATGCAATTTTGTCATAAGCGGAAAGTAAAAATTCAAAACTGGACCTTTAAATTCGAATTTTTGGCTTTTCCCGCTCGAAATTTTTGAATTTCAAAATTCAAAGTGTCAGTTATGACACGTGTGACCTGCTGGACGGCGTCAGACCTGCGCCCTTTCGTCTTCCCAGGCGCAATGATGGCGCCGCCTGACGCGGTGCGCCCTTGTGAAGCCACGTCGCCTCCCTCTCCTTCCTCTCCGCCTATATAAAGGCTTCCATCCCCACTGCCTTCCTCACTTCTTCCTCGCGCGTCTCCCGAGTTTCACCGGTCAATCTCTTCTCTCCTGCCTTCCAGCCCTCCGAGCCAAGTAAGCTCTCTCCTCTTCTTAGTTTTCATTCCCGGTCAATGTCTTCTTCTGATAGTCAAGGTATCTCTTCCTCGGATGCCTACGCATCCGAGGAATCCTCAACCTCCTCTTCTTCGACCGGGTCCTCTTTATCCAGTTTCGAGACCCGGTCAGGCCCCAACACCACCGTCCCTGAACCGCAACCTGTTAACCAAATGCCCGGTCAGGTTTCTCAGGAGAGGGATGAACCGGTTGACGATGAGCCGGCTCCCTACGACCCTGACAGCGAGTCGTATGAGAGATGGGTGAACCGGCTGGATGCAGCCGGTTATTTTCCTCTCCCCTCCAGCTACCCGCTCGACATCTATCCCCGGGTCTCTAAGATTGCCCAAAACAAAGCCCGCAGGAATCTCCCGGAGGGGTACGTTCTTGAGTACGATCCCAGTTGGCCCAACATTATCGAGCCTCACCGGGATGATAGGGTAGGTTTCCATATCATTTCTTTGGAAAGTGGCACCGTCTTCCCCCTGCGACCCCTTCTAGTCGAGTTGTGCCATTGTTTCAAGGTTCTCCCGGGGCAACTTACGCCCAATGCCCATCGTTTTCTTAATGCTTTTGTAAATATCTGCTCCCACCTCAAAATTGATCCTTCTCTTCGCTTTTTCCTTTATTTGTTTGAAGTCCTTCCCGGTAAGTCAGGTTGCGATGGCTACGTCTATTTCAAGGGCCGTAACGGTCGCCAATTCATTTCTGACCTTCCACAAAGCAACCGGCTGTGGAAGGAAAAATTTGTCTTTATAAAATTCCCCACCGTTTCTCCTTTGGCCGGCATAAAGTGGAACGACCACCTCCTGAAACCACAATACACTGAGCCGGCTAACGCTCCAGACTTGGAAGAAAGTTTGGAGAAACTCCTACAAGGGGACCCGTTCACCGGGCAAATGTTCCATTATGGGGCTTGGATTTGGAGAATCTCACCGGGTGGCACAGGTACCCCCAGGGCTAATGAAGCAGCGGGGCACGGGGTACCTGCCCCGGGCAACACTGCGGAAGCTGGGGGTTCCAGTCACCCAGGTATCCTCTTCTTCCTTCTTCCTTTCTATATACCGGTCCATGCTTGAGTAATATTTTCGTTTGTTTTGTAGAGATGAACTTCAGAGCATTCAACATCCCCACGAAGAAGACCGGTGGCCCCTCCTCTACTGCCCCAAGAACCGTACTGGTGCAACAGGAGCCGGTGGAGATCAACTCCGAGGAGGAAACTCGTCCGACCGGGAGGACCAGTCAGGCCGGGAGGACCACGGTAAACCCTCCCCTAGACAAGGGGAAGGGGAAGGTCCGAACCAAGCACGCCGCCGCCACCCACCCCTCGGCAAAGAGGAGGAGGGGAGAAAGCGTCCCGGCCACAGAGTCGTTAGAGGAGCTCTGGGTCAAGATGGGGCGAAAGCTGAAAGAGGTAACATTCGCCCAGTACATTTTCTTGAATTTATTACTTGTTTGTCGTACTAACCGGTATGTTCGGCTTTGCAGATGGGTGAGGTCGGGCCTGAAACCTTGAGGAAGCTTGCCGAGGACTCCCCTTCCCGGTCACTTCAGCTGGAGGAAAAGCTGAAGAGGCTTGAAGCCCATAACCAGGAGCTTCAAGACCTGACAACCCGGCAACTTGACGAGATGGCCAACCTCTCGGCGGTTGCCGGTAGGGCAAACGCGGAGGTCCTCTAGCTGAAGGAGGAGAACTCGCTGCTGATGGGGGAGGTCTCCCACCTGAAGGAGGAGGCATGGGTGAAGGAGCAAGAGCGGCCCGGTCGGGCTAGACAGTGGATGGAGGAGAACCTGGTGGAGGCCGCCCGGGTGCTTACTTCCTCCGAGGAAAGGACAATGGAGGGCTTCAAGCTGCTGTACCGGGAGGAGCAAGGGAAAGAGATGATTACCCAGATCGGCTCCTATGGTTTCATGTCTGGCCAAAAGCGAGACCGGGAGGCCACCCATGCGATCCTTGCCGAACGGGATCCGGACTTCAATGCCGAATCATACGGCCTGGCCCCCATCCCGGACGAAGAGCCTGCGCCTCCCTTCCCTCTCGAGTAGACTTCCCGGTTGCGCCCGGTCGTTGTGCTTTGTAAGCCGAAGGCTATGAATTTTCCCGGGGATGCCCGGTGTAATATGTAAACATTTAACATTCTCGTTTTGTCGAATGCTGTCTAATTTTCTTACCGGTTTATCTTGCATATTTCTTGCTTCTTGGTTGACACTTTGTTATTGCTTCTCAATTGTCTTCGACCGGTACATAAAATCACACCACTTCTTAATTGTCTTCGACCGGTAGAACATCAAAATTCTCCTTGATCACTTTATGTGAAGAACTATAGTGAACCCGGTTGAACTATAGTAAACCGGTTGAACTTCAACTTTTGTCTTTTGAGTGTCTTCATCATGGTGGCCAACTTAAACAGTTTGACCGGCCGATCTTTACTTTGGCCTATCGGATGGCTTCACAAATTCTTTGATAAAGTACAGTTTGACCGGTAGATTCCACTTCCTGGTGTGACCGGTCAACTGCCTTGCCTTTCGATGGATGTGGAACTTTCGAAGTTCTGTTGTGCTCATACCCGACCGGGGTTTTTTTTACCGGTAGGTTGTAGATGGAAACACCTGTAACCTAGTAATTCTTGAAGTATCCTTAACCGGTAAGAATACTGGAGATTTAACCATGTCGAATGGTTTCGAACCCTCTCCAAGGTTCAAATGCACCCTTCTTCCAGGGCCCCCTCTTCCGGGTGATTAAGTCTTTTAATGGCCCTTTGATTTCTACCATNACCGGTAGGTTGTAGATGGAAACACCTGTAACCTAGTAATTCTTGAAGTATCCTTAACCGGTAAGAATACTGGAGATTTAACCATGTCGAATGGTTTCGAACCCTCTCCAAGGTTCAAATGCACCCTTCTTCCAGGGCCCCCTCTTCCGGGTGATTAAGTCTTTTAATGGCCCTTTGATTTCTACCATCCCGGGAAGGCCTTAGCTCACCCTCCCGTTCAAGTCTTCCCTGAGAAGGGGGAAACAGGATGCGCCACGGTGGACGATCCCCTTCTATTTCTTTTAATGGGCATCTTTTAGTCCCCAATCAATTTGACGGCGCCGGCTGATTCCCCGACACCAGTCAAACCTCATGGGCCCGTGTAAGTACGGTTCGAACCTTCTTCCAGGTCCAACCCTCTTGCAGGCATACCCTCTTCCGGGCCCCTCTTCCGGGTTTTAATATTTTTTCTATTATACTGAGTAAGACCGGTGTAGTAACCAGCGTGCCAGGTCCGGGCCTGTGCCTCAGTTGGCTTATCCAAGTGGATTCGATCCACCCAGGAAGCACTCCTAGGATAGGTTTGACCTATCAATTTCGCCGCTACCAAGTAGAATATTGAACGTCATTGGTTTGATTGATAATAAAGTAGGCCTTGCCTAGTATTACAATCATTTGTAGAACTTGCGAAGATGATGGGAATTCCAGGTTCTTTCTACCGGTACACCTTCAAGAATTTCTAACCGGTAGGTCCCCGGGCGAATGATAGCTCTCACCCGGTAAGGCCCTTCCCAGTTTTTGGCCAGCTTTCCTCCGTCTCCCGGTCTACTAGCCTCCCTCCTTCGCAGGACTTCATCGCCGACTTGAAAGTATCGCGGTCCAACCTTGTTGTCGTGGTACTTCTTCACGACTTGTTGATATGTGCCCATTTTAACTTCCGCGGCCATCCTCCGCTCTTCGACCAAGTTGAGTTTGGCCAAGTGATCTTCTTCATTTTGTTGGGGTTGATAATTTGATTCCCGAAACGTTGGGAATTCAGCTTCGATGGGCAGCCTTGCTTCACACCCATAGGTCAGGGAGAATGGAGTTTCCCCGTGAGCCCTCCTGGGTGTTACTCGGAATGCCCATACAATGTGTGGGAGCTCTTCCAGCCACTTGTTTCCTGCCTCTCCCAGCCGTTTCTTCAAACCATCTACAATTGTTCTATTGGCGTTTTCGACTTGGCCATTTCCTTGAGGGTACGCCACCGAAGAGCGATTGTGCTTGATCCCAAAGCCCTCCAAGTATTCGGTGAATTTCGGATTTCGGAATTGCGGGCCGTTGTCGGTGATGAGGTTCATGGGCGCTCCAAACCTCGTGATGATGTTCCTCCAGATGAATTTCTTACATTGTTGCGTGGTGATGTTGGCCAATGCTTCGGCCTCGATCCACTTGGTAAAGTAATCGATGGCTACGATTACGAACTTCTTCCCTCCTTGGGCGATTGGAAAGGCTCCAATGATATCAACCCTGAATCTAGCAAATGGGATGACATTCGATACGGGGTGGTAGTAGGTCGCCGGTCTACCGGGATACTTGTAGAACACTTGGCACGTCCTGCATTTCTGGACGTACCTCTCACAATCCTGTACAATTGTTGGCCAGTAATACCCCAACAAGATGATGCGTTGGGAAAGCATACGGGACATTTGATGCGCCGCGCATACGCCTTCGTGGACCTCCGCGATGACTCGCTCAGCCTCCCGGTTGGTTAGACATCTCAGGAGTGGCCCCCCAAATGCCCTTTTATACAGCTTTCCATCAAGAACCTGGAATCGGGGTGCCTTAAGCTTCACTTTTCTTGCCCGGTCATCTTGTTCTGGCAAGCTCCCATCCATCAGATATTCCATCAGATCACACATCCAATGGTCGTCCGCCCCGACCAAGTTTGACCGGTCAAACTGGCTTCCGGCCGTTATGGCGGCAACTTCCAATTTTTCGATGCTTGCGCGGTCAAGGATCTCTACCCGGGCAAGTTTTAAAACATGCTTGGGAGCATACTGCGTCAACTTGGAGAGAAGGTATGCATCCGCGTTTTCCGCCCGGGGAATTTGGGTGATCTTGAACTCTTTGAAGCCTTTCAACAGGGCAAGTACAAGGTCCTTGTACTGTGCCATGCGCCCTTCCCTTGCTTCCATGTTACCGGTCACCTGTCCAACTATCAGGCTAGAGTCAGATTTGATACTGACCCGGCTGATTTTTAGGGCTTGGGCAAGTCTGAGCCCTCCAGCCAGAGCTTCATATTCTGCCTCATTGTTCGTCAGCTTGAAGTTGAAGACAATTGCATGGTAGATCTTGAACCCTTCTGGGGTGGTGAACACGATACCACCCCCGTATCCTCTAGGACCGGATGTCCCGTCAACAGCCATCTCCCACCATTGCTCAGTGGGCTTGTTGACCGGTAAATCTGGAGTTAGACCGGTCATTTCTACTAGGAAGTCAGCTAGGGCCTGTCCCTTAATTGCCGACCTTGGCTGGTACTCAATGTGGAATTGAGTTAACATCATCGCCCACTTCACCATCCTCCCGGAGGATGTTGAATTTCGCAACACTGCACCCAGCGGTTGGTCAGTCAAGACTTCTACCGGGTGAGCTTGGAAGTAGGATGTTAACTTTTTTGCGGAGATGAAAAGCGCATAGGCTATCTTTTCCATCGCCGTATATCCACTCTCAGCCCCGTTTAGTGCTTTGCTCACATAATAAATGGGCTTTTGCGCCCCATCATCTCTTATTAAAACGGAGCTTACAGCGTTTGGGGAAATTCCCAGGTATAGATACAGAGTTTCACCCGGTTCGGGTTTAGACAATACAATATCCGATGCTAGGTACTCTTTCAGCTCCTCGAATGCCCTCCGGCATTCTTCGTCCCATGCGAATGTGTTGGCCTTCTTCAGAACTTTGAAGAAGGGCAGGGATCTCTCAGCTGACCGAGAAAGGAACCGGCTGAGGGCCGCTAAACGACTGGTCAACTTTTGAACGTCCCTAACGGAGGTAGGGGCTTGCATTTCAGTGAGCCCGGATTTTTTCTGGGTTGGGCTCTATTCCTCTCTTGGTCACCATGAATCCCAAGAACTTTCCGGTACGAACCGCGAAGACGCACTTCTTAGGATTCAGTCGGAGGTTGTACCTTGCCATGATATCGAACGTGGCTCGCATATCAGCCGGGTGGTTCAGAGATACCTGGCTTTTGATCAGCATGTCGTCGACGTATGCCTCCATGGTCTTTCCCAGTAGTGGCTTGAAAAGTTTGTTCACCACGCGCTGGTAGGTTGCCTCCGAGTTCTTCAAGCCAAACGCCATTACCCGGTAACAGTAGGTTCCCTCGGGTGTGAGGAATGACGTCTTCTCTTCATCCTCCTTGGCCATGTAGATTTGGTGGTAACCCTTGAAGGCATCCATGAAACTTAGGAGTTCGCACCCCGCAGTTTCGTCCACCATTTGATCTGGACTGGGAAGGGGGTATGAATCCATCGGACAAGCCTTGTTCAAGTCCGTATAATCCACACACATTCTCCACGTGTCGCCCTTGGGAGCAAGGACAACGTTGGCCAGCCAATCCGGGTACTTGACTTCCCGGATGTGACCAACATTGAGGAGGTCTTTCACTTCCTTCTTGACGAAGTCTCGCCGGTCACTGGCTACGTACCGCTTCTTTTGGCGTACCGGTCGACTTCCCTCCCTCACGGCCAACCGGTGGCAGATAACAGAGTGATCTATCCCGGGCATATCCGCCACGCTCCATGCGAATATGCCCGCGTATTCTTGGAGGACCCGTGTAATCTGTTCCTTGAGATCCTCGGGGAGATTTGCTCCAATATTGACCATCCTCGAAGGATCACCCGGGTGAAGTTCAATTTCTACCGTCTCGGCCTCGGGTTCCAATTTCTCCCGGGTCTCTCCCTTTGTGATCTCTTGGGAGATGACATTGACCCCCCTGGTCATTTTCTTGACTGCCCGGGCATAGCACTCCCGGGCGTTCCTCTAATCGCCCTTCACCTCACCCACACCACCTGGAGTGTGAAATTTCATGCATAGATGAGGCATGGAAATCACCGCCCCGACTCTATTAATGCCTGGCCTTTCAAGAATTGCGTTGTGGACGCATTTGATGTCCACAACTATGAACCGCATCTTTTTCCACACGGTCTTTTCCCCTGATCCTAGTTCGACCGGTAGAACTATGGATCCTTCAGCTTCAACGGTGTCCCACGTAAAGCCTGAGAGAGGGGTTTTGAGGGGTTCAAGTTGTGTTCGACACAACCTGAGTTTTTGGAAGGTCTGCAGGTATAAGATGTTGACACTGTTGCCAGTGTCAACAAGTACCCGGGCGACATCCACCCCATTAATGTCCATGGTGATGACCAATGGATCATTGTGATCTTCACCGGTAGGAGGGAGATCCCGGTCAGTAAAGACGATCGGCTCCCTCCTAGTATGTTTACGCCTGGGCGGTTCAGCACTTACCTCTCCAACGTAAATGCTCCGGACCCAGTGTCCGCCGAAGATCATGCCGGGTCCACCGAAGATCATGCCGATGTGTTCTTTTTCGGGAGCAGGTTGCCGCTCCCTTGGCCGGTTATTCCTCCGTCGGTCGTTGTCCCAGTCATTCCCTGGGGCAGTTGGCCTAACCCACTGATGACTCTTCTCCTGGGCTTTCTGCAAGTAATCTTTGCCCAGCTCTCCACTGTCGATCATCTGCCGGATTACTCCCTTAACACTTTTGCATTCGGAGGTGTTATGGGAATCTGACCTGTGGTATGAACAATAGGTGCCCGACCATTGCCGCCCTACTTGACCGGTAGGGGTTTCTGGACGAATGACCGGTGCTTTCCGGACTTCTTGGCATTCTTCCGTATTGACCACTCGGATGACCGGGTCATAGTGGTGCCTCGGTCGGCTAGGTCCCAGTGCTTCTTCCTTCTTGACTTGCACCGGCTTGGGCTTGTGACCATGCTCAGCTTCTCTCTTTGCCCGGAGCTGGGTTTCAGCTTCAGCAAACTCCCATGCAGTATGGTAGGCCTCTTGGTACATGGATGGGGGTTTCCGGCAGAACTCCTTGTATAGTTCCCCAGCACGCAAGCCATTCAAGAGGAGGGATAGGACGGTCTTGTCATCCATCTCTTCCACCTTGTCTACCTCTTCCTTCCACCGGGTAATGAACTGAGTGAGGTTCTCAGACTCCCTATGCCCGGCTGTACTAAGATAGGTGAACTTCTTCCTCTTAGTACAGTTCTCCTGGAACTTGGCCTTGAATTTTGAGGCCAAATCACTGAACGAGTCAATGCTTCCCGGGCGGAGCTTATTGAACCATTCAGTGGCTCGGTTCCGCAAGGTCTGGAAAAAAAGAAGGCACTTTTCTTCATCGGTGCAACCGTTCATGGTCGCACTCTGCTTGAAGGAGTCCAGATGGATTTCCGGATCTTCCTTCCCGGTGAATCTGGGGGCGTCGATCTTGACCTTTCGCGGGAAAGGTGTCAGATGGACCCTTGCGGTGAACGGGGACCTTGCCAGGGGTTTGTCCCGGTCATTCTTCTCTCCGACCTTCTTTTCCAGCCTTTCAAGCTTTGCCTCCATCTGCTGGACGCGGTCGTTCGGGATGGTTAATCGGTTCGCCACCGGTAACCTGGGCTGGCTTTCTGCCTCCTCTTCCTGGTGGGAGGCCCTCGTCCTCGCTGGCTCCTGCCGGTTAGACCGAGAGCGCCGGGTGCGGGCAGGCTCGGCCTCCCGCACCTCGCCTAGCCGGGCGAATGCGCTGACATGGGCAACGCTCTGCCCCAGCCTTTGCTTGGCTGACTTCCTCTGACCTTCCTCCCTATTCCCCAGCCTTTCGAAGGCGGAGTTTCGGGAGGTCGCTAGCCGGATGTTTTTTCCTTTCTTCTTCTTGTGGGCCCTTGGAACGTCCCACTCGCGGTCATCGCTCTCAATTGAGACGCAATGACCATCAAGGGTGACCTGTGGATTCGTACCCTGCGGGGGACGCGACGGCCCTGCAGCGTTAAGTGCGCCGGTCAAGTTGACAGGGGCCATGGTGCTGACCAGCTGGGGCTGAAAAGGTGATGGCTGCGGCATCGGCGTCTGGAACGACGTCACCGCCATTGGAGCTTGTAGGGGCATGGTTCCCGCGCCTCGAAGGGCGAATGGGAACATAGCAGGGAGGAAAGGCATCCCCCCATTCTGTTGGCACATGGCCATGACTTGGCCAAAGCCCTGGATGGCTTGTAGGTTGGCTGGGTCATTCATAAACTGAGTCATGCTTGGTGGGAACGTGACCCTCGGTCCAGCGTAAGGGACGGGGGTCGTGAATGGGCTAATTACGCTAGGTGTGGGACAGAACTCAGACCCAGAGGCAACACCGGGGCCAAAATGACCGGTATGGCAGCAGCCACAAGGATGCTGGCACCCTCATTGGTGGCTTGTACGTGAGCGGAAGCAGCGTTGATTTGTTGGCTGGAAGACATTTCGAGTGGTTTTTTGGTGGGTAGGTTTGTGTTTAGGAGAAGAAACCTTAACGGTCCCACGGGTGGCGCCAAAAATGATGGTGTAAATTACTTGACCGGTCAAACTATACTAGACCGGGTCTGGAATAGTTTGTTCGATTTGACAAAGTAAGAAAGGTAAAAATACGCAGGTTGACCGATAGGACTTTAGGTGGAACACCTGTAGCCCAATTTATATTATAACGGAGAATGCACGGGTGCTTTTACAAGGGAGTTCTAGAGAGAATGCATCCGGATCCCTCTTTCTGAGGTTTACATGAGTATTTATACCAAGCTAGGGGGACAGGACCACGTGCACCCACGTGGGGGCATGCTGCTGATGTGGTGTTATGACTGTCCTTGAGCCACCTTGTCATCTTGCGAGGGGGATTACCCTCCTTGTCACGTTCTGGCTTGGAAATATTCCTCCAGCATCTCTGCAATCCCAACCACTACAGTCCAAGTCCTTTTGGACTCCTCCTGCCAACACTCCCCAATTTCTAAAAGTTGCACCGGTTGATTTCTGAAGGTTTGGATTAATTGTCTTCGGAATTGGTTCCTGCCGATGGAGTAATCTCACCGGTATACTATCCGAAGTATACCGGTCAACTTCTTGGTCAATCGGTCGTCCATTTGCCGACGATTCAGATCTCTCTTCAAAGTTTGACCTCTTTGACCGGTCAACTATCCGGTCCTGACCTTTGACCAGTCGTGGGTGAAATACACCCATCACTCATTATATAACTCTCTAAGATTATAACCACTTAAGCTCTCAACACTTGTTACCAAAGTCATGCAGAATAATATATATAGTGTTTTTTATTTGTTTTGAGTGAATTAAAAATCTAACTATTTGCAAGAAAAAACTTGTGTTATGTAAATATTTTATAATCTTTTAAATAATGAGTATTATTTTTTGTATAAATAATAATGAATAATTTATATCTAAACAAAGTTTAACATCTATAGAATAAAAAATATATACTAATGTTACGGGACGATTATTATTATTATTATTATTATTATTATTATTATATTATTATTATTATTATTATTATTATTATAGGTAAGGAATTATTTATAGTTAGTTAATTATTATTAGGGAATATTATATTTGTTAGGTGATTAATTAGTTTTCTAGTTTATTTAGTTTCCTGTTGTGCTTTCATTCTTGAACTCACCCAAAAGAAATTAAAAAAAAAAAGGTTTCGGCCACAAAATCCAATTTCAAACCCGCCGATCCTTCCAACGAAACAAGAATTGCAGATTGACTCTTTTGATTTTGGTGATTTAGAATTCAACATCAAAAAAAAATCAAAAGACATAGCCGTACAGGTGCTACTTCGCACAGAGTTGATGAAATTACCCCACTAAATTGATCTTACAAAATTACAGGTATTACCATCCATTTTGTTTTCCAATTTTGGATTGGTACTATTGCGGCAAGCCTTGAGGTATTTTTGAGTGATATTTTTGTGTGGTGGTATTTATTTTGGCAATGGACTCACTCTTGGACAAAGTTCTTGGTTTACTCGAAAAAGTTTTACGAGGACAAATTGAATTTTATGGAGTAGGTTCACTTGAAGATTCTGTGGATGAGATTATAAAGAAACTTCAGACATTCCGTCAAATTAAAGGTCAACCAAAATATGATTCTGAGGAATATCCGTTCGCCGTAGAGACCTCTTGTTCAATACAAAATTTAGTTCGTGGTCCTCCAATTATGCCAAGCCTGATTCCTATAGAGTTATACATTTTCAAAACAACATGGCCCGTTCTATAAGGAAACTCATCGGTACTTCACGAGATTCGGCCCCTACAGTACCTGTGCAAAAAATAACCTTGCACGACAAGGAATTTGAAAAGGAAATTTTTGTTGATCTTGTTAGTGTTCCTGATGATACTCTTATTATTGATCCCATAGATGTTGTTCATGTTACCGTTGCTGATGTTGTTGTTGATGTTTCTGGTGATGAAGATCAACGCAACCACACAGTCCAAGCAAAATATTCAAGTGATGGTGTCATTATTTATGGATGCACGGAAACATTTGGGACGACAGAAAGTGACGTTGTTGTCCTTTATGATTCTGGAGATGTCACACGTGTTGGCATGATTTTCTTCTCATTGGTTCTCTGGAGTTGTTTGCGTGGAGTTGTGAATGCTTTGAGCTTGGCCGATTCTTTTGATGCTCCATTCATAAAGGTCTTTGACCCCGGAGGATGTCCGTTCACAACGCATGATTCCTCGTTTTTTCTAGATTTCCAACTTGAGGACAAGTTGATTTTCGAGGTGGGGAGAGTGTTACGGGACTATTATTATTATTATTATTATTATTACTATTATTATTATAGGTAAGGAATTGTTTATAGTTAGTTAATTATTATTAGGGAATATTATATTTGTTAGGTGATTAATTAGTTTCCTAGTTTATTTAGTTGCCTTTTGTGATTAGGATTCTTTTGATATGCTAGCTATAAATGTGTCACCAACATGGAGTTATTATTTAATCAATAAGAAATCATTTTTCCTAACCCTAATCTCTTCCTCTCCCATCTCGTTCTTCTATTACGCCGAACAAAGTATCGTGTGATTCTCTCTTTCTCGCCTCTTTTGTTCTTGGAGCTCGAAGGTGCTTGAAATCCTTCCCTATCCCGATACGATACCGTATCAACTAATTATAATAAAATATGGAAAGTGTGAAAGAGTATATTAACAATGACATTAAAAATAACATGTAGAAGAAAAAACACAATTTTAAATATTTTCTTTAACATTGAGAATAACATTTATATTTTTCTTTAATATGCGTGTCCGGTTCAAATGTGAAGATTAAAGTTAGACGAAGGGAGCATGTGCTTCGTATTATTTAGAAATAATAGGCATATTTAAGTTATGTGATAATATTTTATTATCTTTAAAAATAATCCACAAAACATGATACTCCGTATAAATTTTTTTATTATCTAAAACATAAATATGAATATTATATACCAAGTTATGGGTATTTGACCCAAATCAACTCGTTTGACCGTTTAACTCTTGATCTAATAGCTAATCCAGTTCGATATCTGGTCCGATTTTCAAAACATTGGCTAGTAGCCTAGAACTCGGCTAGAAATGTAAAAAGGGGGGGTAGATTTGGTTGAAGGAAATTTTGAGCCATTTATATTCGAGGCCGGTTCTAGAGCCACTAGAATCCAGTGGCTACGGAAGTCACTGCCCCCTTACGGAACTCCGTTTATGAAATTGATGATTAATACTCCCTCTAACTCCGGGTAAACCTCCCGCCAAGTCTTGACCCAAACTACTCCCTCCACCTATGTTAATGACACCTCGCAAGTGTAATTGACTTTAAATTTAAAATGTTTGACTTCAAAGTCAATTATACTTGTAAGGTGCGAGTGGGAGTAGTTTGGGTCCAGAGGTCTAGGAATTATCGCGTAACCACTCGATTACAGTGTCTCTCGAACCGCCTCTTTATATTCTACCCAAACTCAAAGTTGAAACCCAACAAGAATTGGCCCGACAAAATCAACAAAACTAGAGAGAAATAAGCGACAGATATAGAGAAGGAGATAGGAGTCGGAGATGGAGAAGGAGACGACGATCGGGATAACAAAGGAAGTCTACAATTTGCGTTCCAGAAGGGTTTACATGGCCTCACGCACTAGATGTTCCGCGTAATTTCATTTCACTCTATTTCTCCTACTTAGATGTTATGTTAGGGTTTCCAAATTCCTAATGCCGAAGATGAGTATGAGCAAAGCATTGCTCTTTATTAGCTACTGCCTAAATAATAATAATGATAATATGCTGCTTTCATGTGTTAAATATTTATTGTTTGTGATTCTTCTATTTGATATCATGGTCACTCAATTGATTGATCCAACACCATGATATGTTAGGGTTTCCAAAGCTCAAAAGAAGGGGACAGCTACAGGCAGAAAACTTGAAGATGAGTATGTGCAAGCAATTCTTATATTAGCTACTCAATAATAATCTGCTGCTTTTATGCGTTAGATATGTGCGGTTTGAGTTTCGTCTTTCTGCTACTCCAGTATCTATCTTTCTGTTTATTTTATGCTGTAAGAGGACATTAAGATAGGTGGTTGCTCTACTACAATTTAGGGCAATTGCATCGGTTGTTTAAGACATTGTGCATCGGTTTTTTACCGATGCATATCCGAGCGATGTAACTGCTCCCTAGAGCAATTGCATCGGTACTGATGCAAAAGCTCCTTTTTCATTGTAAGTAAAAGGCTTTTGCATTCTTGTTGATTTTTAAAGAACCGATGCAAAAATTATTTAAAGAAAAGTTTTTGCATCGGTTGTTTCCAAGTATGGATAGTTCTATTATTGTTTCCTTCCCCCCAAATATTAATAAAAGCAACGGATTAGCTTAAGTCATAAGCATGCTGGAGTGCGCTGGTCTAGAAAACAAAGCACCACATGGAGAGAAGAAGAGACAGGGTGGGTACACTCTATTATAGCTGGCCACATCAATAATCCACCCACTTATATTTGATATCGTGGTCACTCAATTGTTTGATCAAACAACACATGGGCTTATTGTTTGGTTTAGTATGTTTCATCACTCATAGAATGATAGAACACTTAAAAAAGTTGAAAAAAAGCAGTCATTGCCTTACTGATCCATGTGATTTTGGCTGAATGTTATGTTAGGGTTTCCAAAGCTCAAAAGGTGGAGACAGCTATAGGCAAAAAACCTGAAGATGAGTATGTGCAAGCAATTCTCTTTATTAGCTATTCAATAATAATAATATGCTGCTTTCATGTGTTTAAATTTTTGCTGTTTGAGTTTCTCCTGCTTGCTACTACATCTGTTTATTTTACGGGAATTTATGCTTTAGAAGGATGTTAATATTGGAGGTTATATGGATAGTTCTTTTATTGTTGAACTCCCC